CAGGCGGTGGCCATCCCCACCAACTCTGCCATCACTGTGTCCTCCTATGCTTACACCAAGGTGACGGGCCCCTACAGCCGCTGGATCTGAGACGGAGGCAACTGCCACGGCCCCATGTTACCTCAACCCTCGGCAGCGCCGGAGCCCGGCGTTGCTTCGTGGTGCTTTCTCCTCAGGCGTGGGGGAGAAGAAAAGGATTAGAAATAAAATAGACAAAAAGAAAAAAAAAGAGAGAAGCAAAACACAAGAAGAACAGAGGAAAAAAAAAAACAAACCACCCATCCCACAGAAAGCAAACCCAATGTCCAAACAGCGGAGCCGATGTGGGCGCACGCCGTCAGAGGGCTGCGCTTGGCGAGGAGTTGGCAAACGGAGCAAACCTTGGTAAAACCAAAAGAGGACGGTGCTGTTTGAGGCTTTTTGGGAATCTCATATTTATATCTCCATGGTTTTTTTAATCCAGCCTCAAACAAACCACCCATCCCACAGAAAGCAAACCCAATGTCCAAACAGCGGAGCCGATGTGGGCGCACGCCGTCAGAGGGCTGCGCTTGGCGAGGAGTTGGCAAACGGAGCAAACCTTGGTAAAACCAAAAGAGGACGGTGCTGTTTGAGGCTTTTTGGGAATCTCATATTTATATCTCCATGGTTTTTTTAATCCAGCCTCGTGCAAAGGGCCGGAGGAGCCCGTAGCGTCCTTTGGCAAAGGAGAGGTTTTTAATTCCACTTAAAAATAATGCCTATTTATTGGATTTTATTTTATTTTATTTGTTACTCCGACCACAACGACGAAGCCGATCTTCGAAAGAGAAGCCAACATGGAAAATGAAACCCAACCTTGAACGCAAATCAAATACAACCCGATCACCAAACCAGCTTCAAGGCAAGAGGTGACCCCCTCCAGCTCCAACACACGGGCGCTGACGGGGTCTGGTGCTTCACCGTCAGCCAGACATGCTGAAAATCCAACTATTTTTTTGCCCAAGGACCTCAAATTACCTGTTTTTCAACTCGAGGAGTCCTTTCTTACCGCGAGGGACGTCCCGGCATGGCACGTCTTTGCTCGGCTCCTCGCCA